AGTAGTGGAAGCTTGTGATAAGGGTCTGCCCAGCCTCTCGGCCTGGGCCTCTGTGCAGATCCAGGTCCTGGATGTGAATGACCACAGACCTCAATTCTTGAAGCCTCAGTACAACGCCTCTGTGACAGAGGACCTGCGTCCAGGAACGATCCTGCTGACCCTGCAAGCCACAGATGCGGATGTGACTCGGGACAATGCGGCTCTGGATTACACTATTGTGAGTGGGAACAGCGGCCATGCTTTCCAGCTGGAGGGCCACGTGGGCGAGGCCAGCGCCTTGGTCCTGATTGAACCCCTTGACTTTGAGGGTGTGGCCCTCTACAATCTCACTGTGGCAGTGGCGGACCGAGGTGTGCCCCAGCACAGTGCCATAGTGCCCGTGGTCCTCACCGTGCTGGACGTGAATGACAACCCACCTGTATTTGGCCGCTCTGCTTATCATATGGCTGTGAGTGAGAGCACCATGCCTGGCACAGAACTGCTGCGGGTGGCAGCCCACGACCCCGACTTGGGCCCCCATGGCCACGTGCACTACAGCATCAGCTCCGGGGACCCCGGTGGGCTCTTCCAGCTGCATCCGTCCTCGGGAGCACTTCGCCTGGTCAAGACTCTGGACTGTGAGAAGCGGACCCAGCACAGCCTGGTGATTCAGGCCTCAGATGGAGCCGGTGGGCATTTTGCCCTGGCCTCCGTGACTGTGGAGGTGAAGGACGTGAATGACAACCTTCCCTACTTTCCGATAGACATGCTGAGCACCAGCCTGAGGGAAAACCTTCCTCCAGGAAGCCTGGTCACCACCGTCCGTGCGGTGGACCCTGATGCTGGGGTCTTTGGGGAGCTGCATTATGCGCTTCTGCAGGCAGAGGACTGGGGTGCCTTTGACATCAACAGCAGCTCCGGGGAGCTCCATTCGCGCCTGCCCTTTGACTATGAGCGCAGCAAGGCTTTCCAGCTGCTTGTGCAGGCCACGGATGCAGGCAATGGCTCTGCGACAGTCACAGTGCGCGTCTTGGTCACAGGGGAAGATGAGTACGACCCTGTCTTCCTCAGCTCAAGCTTCCACTTTGATGTTCCAGAGGGAGCGCATCGGGGCCAAAGTATAGGGCACGTGATGGCCACGGATGAGGATGAGGGCCCGGATGGAGTAGTCCTCTATGCCCTGACCAAGCCATCCCCATTCTTTGAGATCAACCAAACGAGTGGGATCCTGTATCTGCGGGTGGACAGCCAGGTGCCTTCAGGGGGGCCCACCAAGTCGGAACCACGGCAAATGGTCCTGGAAGTACAAGCCCACAGTCCCCTACGTGCCTCTCGGTCAGCCTCCACTCAGGTCACCATTGATGTGACGCACACGGCCTTTGGTTTGGTGCCCGATCTCAATTTGCTGCTGGTGATAGCGGTGGCTGCCTCGCTTAGCGTGGTGGTGGTGCTGGCCGCCGTGGCCATTGTGCTCGCTCTCCTCCGGTCACAGCAGGTCCGTGGCCATAAGGAGGCCACTTTGGCACACGTGCATAGTGGCTCCCTGCAAAAATTGGGCCACGCAGACCCAGCCCTGCCTGGTGGGGACAGTCTGTACAATGAGGCACTGCCTGGCTATGGCACAGATCCTGGGGGGGCCTACACCACAAGAGGGGGATCACTGGACCCATCCCACTCAAGTGGGCGAGGCTCAGCTGAAGCTGCCGAGGATGACGAGATCCGTATGATCAACGAATGCCCCCGCATGTCCAGTGTCACGTCTTCCCTGCAGGAGCATCTCGTGGCACGCGGGCCTGATTCTGGCATCCAGACAGATGCTGACCGCCTTTCTGACATCTCCTGTGAACCAGCCACGCTTGATGCCACCCACTGGTTCAAGAACAGGAAGGGGCCAAGTCTGCTGCTTCCTGGGCAGCCTCCGCAGCTCTATCGGGACGACGGCGGCAGCAGTGGGGCCTACCTGGGCTCTGGCTGCGGCCTCAGCGTCCCCTCCACAAAGGACTACACTTTCCCTGAGGACGGGAAGCCCTGTGTGGATGGCTCCCTGACCGCCATTGTGGCGAGTGACGAAGAGCTGCGTGGCAGCTACAATTGGGACTATCTCCTGAACTGGTGTCCTCAGTTCCAGCCGCTGGCCAGCGTGTTCACCGAGATCGCCCGCCTCAAGGATGAGAGCTCCCTGCGCAAGCCCTTTCCTGCCAAGCCCAAGCCCCGCATTGACCCCCCTCCCCTCATCACCTCTGTGGCTCACCCCGGGGCCAAGTCGGTGCCCCCCAAACCAGCGGTTGGCCGGGCCTTCCCCCATCTGTCCTCCCTCCGACGGTCCCCCATCAGCCACGAGGGCTCCCTCTCCTCGGCAGCCATGTCTCCCAGCTTCTCCCCTTCCCTCTCCCCCCTGGCTGCCCGGTCCCCCATGGTGTCTCCCTTCGGGATCTCCCAGGGGCCCACCGCCTCTTCCACCATAAGCATCGAGCACTCCTTGGAGGCCCCCGAAGAGGCGGAACTTCGCATTTAGGGCCAGCTCAGGAGTCGCCCCTGGCAGCAGCTGGGCACAGTGGCCTGAGCAGCAGCCCCGGGGCAGGATTCCAGCCTTGCCTTGGCTGGCTCTGCCCTGCGTGGGGTCCCTACTGCTCCCTGGCCTCTGGGGAGGGAAGCTGCAGATCAAGGGAGGCTTTTTGCGTGGGGCTTGCCTGCCAGTGGGCTCTACTTCCAAGAGCACATTCCCCTTGTGGCACATGGGCTGGGATGCTCTGCTGGCAGTCCAGCCTTGGCCGAGGGAAGGCCACTCACGCCAACCCCACATCCCTGGGACTTTGGCCCTCGCCCCTTTCAGGAAGCAGAGGCAGCACGATGACCCGGCCCCCTCTCACGGCCACCCTGACCCCAAAGAACCCCCCCCATTCCAATTCAGGAAGACTGTATGGTGTTCTGGAGTGCAACATGATGCCCTGCCACTCCAGCCCTGCTGGCAGCAATAACTCTTTCCCAAAAGGTGTGGTGCGGACGGTGGGAATCAATGGTACTAATCGACATAGAGCAATAATAACGCCCTCTGGCTCCCCCCTCCCCCAAGAGCAGTTTGGAGCGAGCGCAGGGCATCTGGGGAGGTGGAAGCAACCAGAGGCAGACCAGGCTCCCTCTGTCTCATCCCAACGGACGTCCCGAGGAACATGGCCCCGCAGGAGAATGGGATCCTCTGGGTCCCTTCCTGGTCTCTGCTCTGGGCTTCTGCTGGCCTTTCTACGCCCAAGGGCTCCGGTTGGAAGAGCCAAGGGGATGGGAAGGAGGGTGATGGTGGTGCAGATTTCCCTTCCAATGGTTGGTCCCCACTTCCTGCTGCCTCCAGAGGGCGTTGCACACTGAGCTCCGGGCTCTTCCTGCAGGGGATGCGATGGGGGGGTGAATCCTAGAAGGGCTGATGGAGGTGAGGGGGTCCTGTATCCTTTCCACCTAAAGAACCCTTTTTCTGCACCTTCGCTCCTGTCACGCAGGCACAACCTGAAGTTGGCCAAGCTCATTTCAGCTTGCCACTCCGGTGGGGGGAGGGGAGGGGGGCTCTTATTTATTGTCCTGTTTTCTCTCTGTATCCTTTTGCGTGTGGCTGGACAGCCCAAGTGGTGGGCACTGCCCATCCTGGTCCTCCTGCTGCTGATAGGCCAGAACCCAAGTGCCAAGTTCTTGATATAATTAATGCCTTAATAATAAATCATGCCATGTAACCAGAGCTCTCGTCTCCATAGGTCGGAGTGGAGAAGCAGCTGGGGAGGCAGTCCAGCTGGGCTCCTGGGTCCTGGGGTGCCAGATGAGCCCACTTGCCCTGGGGAAGAGGGTGCCAGGAAGCAGAAGGACACCCTGGCTGGCACTGCTGCTGTGGACCCTCTTCCACCAGGAGCTCCCCTGCCCCGTGCTTTTCACAGGCGCAGCTAGAAAGCAACTTAATTTGGGCTTTGAGGGGGGGGGGGCATCTGGGAAAGTTCATTTAGAAAAAGACGTCAGGCTGAGACTGGAAAGCCAACGCATGTTGAATAAGAGGCGTTAAAAAGAAAATCTGTTGAACAAATAGCAATTTCCACATAGTCATCTGGTGAACGTAAAATATCAATCGGTCACTTGAGATTTAATATAATTTTGCAGATCTTTGCTATATAGCAACAATGGGTGCTGCTGCTATTACAACTACTTACCATGTAAATGGAGTAAAATATTATTTATTTAATTATGCCGCCATCTCACTGCAAAGTAGCTCTGGGCTGAGAAACGGAAACGTCCATGGCTGAAGACACAACTGTAAAGCTTAAGGTCTTAGAAGAGCAGATGAACCAAGGGGGCCTTTTTGAAATTCCTAATAAAAATGGAAGCCACAGGAGATGCCAGAATATGAAGGCTGCTGCCCAGGGTGCCAAATGGTCCAGAGCCAATCTGACCACCGCCGCCTCCTGTCGAGAATTGCCATGTGCCACCTGCAGGGCTGCCCTTGGAGGCCACCCGAAACCTTTAGCCTGGACAGTAATGGGTGCCAATCAATGTAATTGCACGGCACCCCCGTGGTGAAAGCTGCTCAAGGCCCCACTTAGCTTCAGAGTGTAAGGGGGCTGGAGCCACTGTTCGAACCCACCGGGTGGTGGCAAGGGTGATGAATATTCCTCCACCCTTACTTTGTTTGCAGAGAGCTACTCGACCCCGTTTCGGGTGGCTTAGTAAATCAGAGGTTTCTTTAAGGGCCTCTGTGAGGAATATGCTAAACATCTGATGGATTTCCCTGGTTCCCTGGGAGGGTTCTCTGGTGGCTGTTTGGCCACCTCTGTGTTAGATCCATACCTTTCCTGGCAGGTCAAAGCTGCCCAGGAAACGGGGGTGGGGGGGGGAGAATATGTTCTTCCGTTAAGAGAGAGGAGCTGGTATGAAGAAGGAGGCAGCCCACTTCTCAAGGGGCCATTGCTTGATCCAGCCCATCTGGACAGTTGTTATCCAGGCTCCCAAGGTTGGAGAAGCTGGGTCACGCTAGTTCCAGGGGACTCCGGATGAAACAGGTTATCTGGGCTCAGACCAAGGTAGGGGACCAAGAGGGCGCGTGGATCATACTCTGGGACGACCTGCTAGGCGCGAGAAGGCATAGTACTTGCAGCTTTGCTCTTGGCCTCTCAGCGACCTTCAGCATCAGCAACCACAGCACCTTTCTGGACTGGTTTTGGGGGTTGGTGGTGGGAAGCACCGTGTTGTGCTGCCTCTCTGTCCTTGGAAGCCAGTTCCAGGAGGAAGGCCCAGCCCACAGCCCCTCTTTTGTAGGGGCCGCAGGGCTCCACCCTTTCTCCCCTCCTGATTAAGACCTGCATGAGAGATGCTGGGGAGCAGCCCTGATGGTTTGGGGTAAAATATCACTAAGCCTGTGGAACTATTCCCCATTTTACATCTCTGCCCCAGGGGCCCAAGTGGTGCTATGGGCCTCCTGCCCCAGGGTTTGGTGGCTGAGGGGGCCTGGGTGAGGGGGCACAAAGGACTTCAGTGCCACTCAAGCACGTCTGGGTGACTTTTCCACCTTTGGTCTTGGATGGAGTGACACGGACTCAGACGGTGCGCAAGCTATGGATCCCGCCTACCAGTTGCGTTAACAACCGTGGTGGATTGTAACATTCCTCTCAGCTGCGGTGCACATTTTAATTTATGTTTGCCACAAAGTTACTTCTTAAGGTGGATAATCATGCAAATTGAATAAAATAAATTGAGGATGCCAATCGGCGTCTTTAAAGCATTCTATGGCACAGGATGCGGGAATCTTCGGGATCCCCTGCCCTCTTTTTCCCTCCATCTGCTAAGAATCCGTTCCTCTGGGGATGTCCTAAAGGGACTCTCCCTTGGAGGTCTTTTTTCAGTCACTGTCCCGCTTTCTGTGGAGTTGCATTTCCTCTGAGCTCAACGCTCTTGAATTTCCCAAAAGCAATTAATGCTGACAAGCGAGGCCTAGAGGGAAAGGCAAGGGGGTCGGCCAAACCTTTTGAACAAGGTGGCCACGATGGCCAGCTGCTAAAAGCCCAGGTATGCCAGGCAGCCTCATCCACTCATTGAAGAGGGCGAAGGCCAGAGAAGGAGTGTGTGCCAGGGCTGCATGCAGCCCCTTTGTATCTAAATTAAATGTTGTGAGGAATGCAGCCTCCGAAGATGGAGACATTGGATTTAAAGTTGCTGAGAGAACACCAACATCCTTGGGTATTCTGGAGATTGGTTAGCTAGAAGTGGGGAAGGCTGGTGAGCTTTTTTACTTCATGCTAACACAGAGGTGGGGAAAGCTTTCCATTTTCCCCTCAAACCCCAAAGTGCATATGTGGGGATAAGGGTAACGATAGATATTATGCTTTATTTATTCATATTGCATAGTCTTTGTGATGCTCAGCTCCTCACAGTTAAAACATCAAATCTTGCTAGGACACTTTCTCGCTTTAATTTTGGACGCCAGTAATTCACAATCTGCTCCACAGTTTGCAACAGGCAAAGTCCTGGCTGACAGAATCTGCTTCTCTTTCTGAAATGTCCATTGGACTCTAAGGTGGTTCCTACAGAGATGTCCATGTGTAGAGTCTACGTATTCTGATGCAGATGTAGCCAATTAACAACTTGGTCAACATACTCACCGTACTACTTACTGTCCTGTTCAATTTCCCCTGTGATTCCATGTTCCGCTGCCAGTTCCCTCTTAACAGCACCAAATTTTTTTCTTGGCGCTGCATTTGGCATTTGCCATAGAACTCTCCAGTATTTTCCTTTACTGCATTGGCAGTAGATGCCTGCGAAATGACCCTCATGCATCATCACAAAATCTCCAGAACCATAAAGCCTACAAACTTCTATTTTGCCACCTTCGTTCCTCTTGGCTTCTATGCACTCACTAAGAAAGGATTTTTTGAAATGACCATCAAAACATTAGTATTTCCTGTATTATTAACACGCTCTGATGCTAAGGAGTTCTAGTCCTCCTCCCCACTGAAAAGAAATCTGTTCCAAACGCCAGCAGAGGACTTTCACTTTCACAGCAGCAAGCAGCTTTACTACAGAACAGTTGAGCTAAGCCACGCCCAGGCTCCTTCCTGTCTCCTTGCTCACACAGCAAATACTGTNTTCTTTATTTTACTATCCTATTATTTTACTTCACATTCTTTTCATTTTTTCCTTTGTATTGTTGTAAGCCACCTAGAGCAGCTCCACAGTGAGATGGGCAGCAAATAAATTTAACACATGGATTTAAAAATTAAGTGGACGGAAATGGAGGAGGAACGTGACAGGCTTGCTTTGACCCCCTCCCCCCCTTAGGCGACTCTGGGGCCGGCTGCCGGACAGCCGCGGGAGGGAAGCACGTCTTCCAGCCCAGCTTCCCAGCCTCCAGGTGAGGAGCCGGGGCCCTCTGGAACTTCCTTTCCTCCGAAGCGACCGGGTGGGCAGGATGCGGAGGGGTTGGGGGCTGCAAGGAAGACCAGCAGAGCTTGGTCTGCCTGGCTCTCGCCCGCCCTTGTCCCGGGACCCGCCAGGGCCTGCCCATCTCTGGTGTCCACTCCCGTCGGGTGGGCTCCTGTCCCCTTCCTGAGGTGGGCGGCCCCAGGGCTTCCCTTGCCTTGGACCCAGTGCTTCGCCTGCTTTGCAGCCCTTACGTGACAACGGTTGGGGGCACGGCCTTCCAGCAGCCTTTCCTGGTGGGCACTGAGGTGGCACACTACATCAGTGGAGGCGGGTTCAGCAACGTCTTCCCTATGCCCGACTACCAGGTGAGTCAAGAGGCTGTGCTGCCCCCCCTCCCCCCCCTCCCAGCAGTGGCAGCCAGAGGTTGCAAAGCGTAACAGCTGTGGCTGGGAAGTGGCCCCCAGAGGAGGCCCTGGTGCAGCAGGAGGGAGGGAGGCAGTGCGCTGGAGGAGCAGTGGACAGCCGGACCCCTTTCCTGCCCACAGGTAACGGCTGTGAAGCGTTTCCTGAGCACGTCGCCTCGGCTGCCCCCGGCCAGCTACTACAACAGCACAGGAAGAGCTTATCCCGATTTGGCGGCCCTCTCGGACAACTACTGGGTGGTGACCAACCGCATCCCCATGCCCTGGGTCTCGGGCACCTCTGTGCGTATGCAGCCCTTCCTGCGGGCCTTCTCCCAGAGCCTCCGCCCCCTTTTTGCTGGGCCGGGCAGCGCACCGGCCCCTGGTGACCTTCCTGCTTCCCCCCATTGCAGGCTTCCACTCCTGTGGTTGGGGGCATCATTGCCCTGATCAACGACTGGCGCCTCCAGCGAGGGTTGCCTGCCCTGGGCTTCCTCAACCCTGCCCTGTACCGGCTCCAGGAAGGAGGGAACAGCACTGCCCTCTACGATGTGAGTGCCAGAGGGGTGCAGCTGTCAACCTGGAGGCGGCATGGGAGGCCAATCCCTGGCGGGAGGAGCAGCCTGTGATCCTGCTCTCTGCAACTAGAGAGAGAGGCTGAGCGGGCTTGGCTGAGCGGGATCGTGGCTACGGGGCGCATGGTCAAAGCCTCCCTTCCTCTGCCTCCCCCTAGGTGACCCACGGATGCCATCTGTCCTGTCTGGATGCTGCTGTGCAGGGCCAGGGCTTCTGTGCTGGCCCTGCTTGGGACCCCGTCACAGGCTGGGGGACCCCCAACTTCCCTCAGCTGCTGCGTGGCCTCCTGGGCTAGCAGGCCATGATGTGGGCCTTACTTGTGGCCAGTTTGCAATCAGGATGGGGGAGAGGGAATGGACAGGGTGTGTGACTGGGAGGCTACAGTGGCACATGGGGGGGTGGGGTATCCTGCCCCAAGGGGGCTCCTCTTTTCTAAGTGGGAACCGTGTCAGAGGGATCTTCTGTCATGGACTAATCAGTGCCCAGAGACCGGCCACTGCCAGCCACGCAACCCTGGGGTGGGGGTGGGGGGTGGGGGAGGTTAGTATTGTGCAAAGGGCTTTGAATGCAGAATCCCAGAATCCTATTTCAGGTCTGAAATGTGATGTTGCCTGTGTGTGAGGCCCTGGGAGGCTTGCAACAGGGCCCCACCCTCTCTTTGAGCACAAGTGCCCCAACCTCCAGGCTCCCATTGGACTCTGGGCACTGCAGACCGTCTCTGGCCCATCTAGAAGCCTCGGGACTGGGCAGGGACGCTTCAGTTCGCACAGCAATATATTTGGTGCAAGAGGCTGTCCTAGGCCACCATAAAGCAATTCTCCCATATCCCAGGTCGTCACGTCCAAGCCCTGATCACGGCAGACATTCAGATATGTAAGCCGCCTCGGACCCAGCGTGACCACATCAATCCCCGACCCCTGAAAGCAAGTTCCGCTGTCCAGTCATCTGCCTTCCGGCAATTTACACCCCTGGCTTTGTGTTCCACGCACTGGAATAAAGGGCGTGCCAAGACTCTGCGATGCTCGGGTGCTCTCTTCTGCTCTGGTGACGCTTCTTCAGGCCAAGCCTTTCCACAGCAGAGCCTCTAGCGTATAACTTGAGAGCAAGCTCCCCCTCCTTCCACCACTGATGATGTTACCTAGTTTGATCAGGAAATGTCCGCAAGGAAACCACCAAGCCCCCCCCCATTTCCACCAGCCCCCTCATCCTTCATCCTTCCAAGTTCTCTGAATCCTAAAATGCGTTACCCAGAGCTAAGCAGATCACCTAACGGAGAAGCTGCAGATCACCTAACGGAGAAGAATCAACTAAAATCTTGAGAAGCTGCAGGTTGTAGAAACTATCGATTTAACCTAAAATTGCATTTGCCCTTTTTGCAACTAGTTCACACGCTTGTCTCTGGCTCCAAAGGTAAAGAGACTTTTTGAGTAGGAGGTGGGTGTTTAGTTATCCCACCCAATTTTGTATCATGTACAGACTTGAATAGTATTTTCTCCAAAACGATTAATAAAAATACTGAAAAATGAAGGGCTCCGACTGATCCTTTGAACTCTCTCGACTCCTCTTACATATTTTCTCAATTTGACGAGAAGTCGCGGATGAGCATTTGGAAAAGCATTTTTAAGTCACCCTTAACGAGCCATCCAGTCCATGTTTTATTAGGGGGTACTTGGCGAAAAGCTGGGCTGAGGTCGAGATACCGTCGGCGGCGGAAGGGATGGATGGGGAGCAGCCGTGGGGGGGACGGGGACACCCGGAAAAAGAGACGGTGCGATCCTGAGATGGGCCGGGGGAAGATTCAGGGAATCCCTGGCGGCTTCCATGCATAGATTCAGTCGGCAGGTTTTCCTTGGGCGGATTCTTCTCCATCGGGGCAAAGCCAGGAAAGGCGGGGAGTCCGCTGCACCTCCGCCGTCCCGTCTGCGGCCTTGAGAGAATCACCTCGGGTGGGTTGCTGGCCCGGCAAAAGGCTCTGGAAGCCACTGCGGCAACTGTTCCTCCAGGGCGCTCAGCCTGGCCCGAAAGAGGGAGCCCTGCGGTCGCAGCGGCCTCCCCGCACGGCCCTTTCCCTTCCCCGGGGCCGCTTCCGCGCGCCTCTCGCCAGGCGACTCCCGGGAGCGAAGGGGGCGGGGCCACGCTCCAGCCGGACCTCCAGCCCCGCCCCCGCCCCGCCCCCTGAGCGGCGCTTCCGGAGGGGAGGAGCCGCGTCCGCNGTATCACGGCGGGGTCTCTCAGCAGCAGCCTTCATTTCTCCAGATAGGCTTTGTTGGCGATGATGACAATGAGAGGGACATCCATTGTGGAATCTACCCAGGCATTAATCCACAACTGGTTAGCCAACTGAAGAAGTTGCTGCGTGAACACAACAAGTATATTCTGGAACTTAAGGCTGCTGTTCACTCTGTTCCCAAGGGCCACAAGGACTTCCAAGTGCTGACCAATGCCGATAGGAAGCCTTCTGAAGAGCACCGAGGTGGTTTCAATGCCCCCATGACATAGCGAAGCCCGGGAATCCCACCGACTAGTAATTATATAACACTAACCTTCACTAGATGGCCACTACAGCTAGTCCTTGACTTACAACCACAATTGAGCCACAAATTTCAATTGCCAAGCAAAATAAGTTGTTATGTGAGCTGTGCCCCGAGTCAAATGAATTGGGCTTCCCCAGACTTTCCTCGTCATAAGTTTCCAAATGGGCATCACATGACCCTGAGACTCTGTGGCTGTCATGAATATGAACCAGTTGCCAGGCACCCAAATTTTGATCACGTGACCTATAATGGCCACAAGACCGAAAAAGTGTCCTAAGTCACTTTTCCCCCCAGTGCCGTTGCAGCTTGTCAGTAAAGCGAATGGTTGTAAGTCGTGGCCCACCTGTGATTTTTGAGCAATAGCTGAGCACCTTTTTGGTGATCTTCTTTTAGAATACATTCGGCACACCATTCCTTTATATAATTGCACGTCCTGAATGGTACATTATGTACTATAATTTTGCTCACTCGCTTTATTTCTAAAAAAAAAATCAACGGTGTTATGCTTTATTTCAACTTTGACCATTTCAAGTTATTTTTGATGCTGGCATCTCACAACTGGACACATCTGCACAGAGCTCGGTGGGCCTTTCACCGGTCACTCTCTGCTTGCAATTCCCTCCCCTTCCTTCCTTCCACGTCTTCAACTCCAGACCCCTCGTGGCTTCCAACCTGGGAAGCCCCAACATCTGCTACATAAACTTATCTTAAAGGAAGACAGCCACCCAATTTTCTTGGAAACTGTCACAATGTGTAGGTCTCATCCCAGGTTGGATTTTAGACATTTCCCTCTTCAGCTGGATTGTCTATCCTCACATCTGCAGAGCCCCCCCCCTGCCCCCCCCCCCCCCCCGTGGTGGAGTAGCCCAAGGCTTCCCCCTTCTCCTTTGGGCTTAACCATCAACAACCGGCCATTGTTGTTGTCAAGGTCCATGAAGCTGGGAAGGGAATGGTGGCGCTGATCAGAGGGCACAGAACGGCAAGAGGGAAAGTTAATTCCTCGCGAGAGGGGGAGGTTTACTGCACAGCCCTTTCGGCAGTTCCAAGAAGGCTCCACACCCATTTTCACCACTCAGGTGACCCTGAGGAAAGAAATAAACCTCCAAGGGGCCTCAACGACCTTCCAAAAGGATGCCAATATACCAGGAGTATAAATCCTTCCATTCCCCACCATCCAGTCAGAGTTGAAGAAGCTTCTTGGATGAGAAGCAAAATGTCTTCAAAAGGAAAAAAACCAGAAAGTCCAGTTGCTTCTTGAAAAAGCACCCTTGGGTCCTTGCAAGAGGGGAACAACATTCAAAATCGTGGCAAATTGGTGGACGTGGCTGAAAACAAGAGCCAATCAGTTGCAAACATCCAAAAACATAAATTGGGCAATATTTCTTGTGAAAAAGACCTTGGAAGAGGAGCTACTGGCAGCGCAATGAGTCCCCGATGTGATGGGGATGTCGCAAAGGCAAGGGAAATATACTCGGCTACAGATAAGCTTCAAATCTCAGGAACCAAAAGAGCAATTCCAGAGGCCAATTCTCTCTTTTTGCACCAGGTCCCACCTGGTATAAACGGTGTCCCCATCCTCAAATGGGCCAGCTGGAAGAGGGCCAAGGCCGCCTCCCTGGAGGCTCAGGCAACCTCTCCAGGGAAAGAGCCCCCCCACAGGCCCCGTCTGCCAGAGAGGGACCCTCCTGACGAGGTCCAGGGAGGTGGGCCAGACGACAGCTCCTCCTCAGTCCTAGCCCCCTTTCACCAGACTCTGTCCTCTGCCCAGAGGCCCAAACCCAGAATTAAGGAGGAATTTCCTGTCTCCAGAGGTTGGGGGTGCCCCAACGCCGGAGGTTTTCTAGAATAGACTGGACAGCCATTTCTCCAGAAGGGCAGAGGGTCTCCTGCTCCAGCAGGGAGTCGGACTAGATGACCTCCAAGGTACTCGGTAGTTTGTAGCTGAGCTGCGGGTGGAAGTGAGACCTGGGAATAAAGGAGAAGCTCAACGGGGAAGAGCAACAGAAGGCCTGTGAGCTCTGCTTGGTGACCGGCAGCCCAGTCGCTCTCAAGCCCAGATGGATCCCGGGCCTCCGGGGAGCCAGCCCCCCCCCCCCCGCCATCCCAGCCCTACGCAGGAGACGCCGATCCTCCGAGCCCTGCCCGCCTTCTCCGGCCACCGCGGCTCCCCGAGCGCTGCAGCGGAGCTTCGGGCTCCCTCTCCCCGGGAATGAATGCGCACCCCACCCCCCGCCGCAGCCCAGCAGGGCGCGTTAGCGGAGGCGGGGCGGGGGGGCATCGCCGCTGCTGCCCGAAGAGGGGAACCGCAACTGCGGAAGGGGGACGGCTGCTCCGTTCAATGAGTTCCGGCCGAGCGACGGCTCCAGAGGCGGAGGAGCCTCCCCAGCGCCCGCCGACAGGAGGAGCCGGAGCCTCGGCGCAGCCTCTGAGAACGCGCAAAGGGCCGCCGGTCTCCGCCCCCCGCCCCCTCCGTCACCTGACAGTCGGCGCCTGACTCTGGGCAGCCTCGGCCAGGATGGCGCGGTCGGAGCCCCGGGTAGAGGCGAGAGCAGCGGCCGCCCACGGCGCTTGCCTGGATCCGCCACCCCGCCCCGGCTCGTCCGGCCGACCCCGCTTGTTGCTGCTGCTGCTGCTGCTGCTGCTGCTACTCTGGCCAGCCTTCCTCCGCTCCGCCGCCGCCGCCGCCGCCGCCCGGGCTCCGGAGCCGGACCAGCCCTTCCGGTGAGCGAGGCGCTGGAGGGGAAAGCCGGGTGTGTGTGTGCTGCGGGCTTTGACGGCCCGGAACATCAGGCCGTTCCGGTCACACTGCGGCTGGATCCTTCCCGGCCCGTGACCGCCTCCGCCTCCTCCCAGGGTCCCCGCCGGCTGGAGGTCTCTGGGCCGCGTGGCCCCCGCCGAGCAGCTGAGCCTGACCTTTGCGCTTCGGCAGCGGAACGTGGAGCGGCTGAGCGAGCTGGTGCGCCGCGTCTCCTCGCCCGACTCGCCCGACTACGGTACCGGCTGGGGAGGAGGGACCTCCGCCCCCCTGTGAGAGCGGCTTCCGGCCCGAGGGCTCTAGAAGCGGGAGGGGGGGGTCTAGTTGAGAAGGCTCGACCCCCCAGCCGTCGCCTACGCCTGGGGAAGCCGGGTCGTAGCCCCAACTGTGCCCCAGGAGGGCAGCCCGGGACTTCGCTTGTCCAGCCGGCAGCCGCCTCCTTCCTGGGGGTGGGGTCATCGGGGCTCCTTTCGGTGGGCATTTTAGAGGCCCGTCCAGCCTTGGACAAGCCCTTCCGCAGGGGGCACCGGAGTCTCTGCTGCCCTGCGGGGACTGCTCACCTGGGAGAGCTCCCCGAGGGAGCGGGGAGTGGCGGAGGAGCACAGCCCCCTCCCTAACCGCCTGTGGGCCCTGAGGGACAGGCCCACCCCCTGAAGGCATGTCTCTCCCCCCCCACCCTTTGCCTAGGGCACTTCCTCTCCCTGGCAGAAGTGAGTTCCTTCGTCTCCCCCTCCCCCCTGACGCTGGGCAGCGTGGAGAAGTGGCTGGCGGCTCATGGGGTCTGGGACTGCCAGAAGGTCAGCACCCTGGACTTCCTGCAGTGCTCGGTGCCAGCCAGGTGAGTTGGGTCGTGGCTGGGGAGGCCGGCCGGCCGGCCAGCCTGCAGAAGGACAGGGGGAGGGTCCATGGCTGAGCTGCGGATTTCTGTCTGCAGCACTGCTGAGCAGCTCCTCCCGGGGGCCCAGTTCCACCGTTACGAGAAGGACGCTCGCAGGGTGATAAGGTCCCCTCTGCCTTACCTGCTTGATCCGGAGCTAGTGGACCACGTGGATTTCGGTAGGGGGCCTTTGGTGGGGAAGGACTGGGGCAGCCGAGCCAGGGACCCTCTCCTGACGTTTTGCTGGGCAGGGCTCATCTGCCGTAGGTGACCACGGCCTCCTTTTCCATCTTGCCCCTTCTAAGTGGGGGGGCTGCACCGTTTCCCAGCCGAACGGAAGGTGGTGAGCCGGGCCTGGGCTGCAGAAAAGTCGCCATCAGGAGGGGACGGGCGGTCCAGCTTCCATTTGGGCGTGACACCGGCTGTGCTCCGCCAGCGATACAACCTGACCCACGTGGATGCAGGCAACTTCTCGCGCAACAGCCAGGCCTGCGCCCAGGTAGGGGCCCAGCCCATCTGCTGGGCATTTGGAGGGCAGGGGGCTGGCAGGCTCCTCTCGGGCCAGGCTTGGCCGTCTCTGTGCCCGGCGTGCTCATCTGGGTTCTGCCGAAGAGCAGCCTCTGAGCCTCCATGGCTTCTTCCCTGCCAGTTCCTGGAGCAATACTTCCACCCAGCCGACCTGGCTGAGTTCATGCAGCTCTTCGGCAGCAAGTTCCCCCACCGCTCCCAGGTTGACCAAGTCGTTGGGCCCAAGGGCTCTGGCTCAGCTGGCATAGAGGCCAGCCTGGACGTGGAGTACCTCATGAGCACAGGGGCCAACATTTCCACCTGGGTCTTCAGCAATGCAGGTATTCTCCCCTCCCTTGGCCAGGGGCGGCTCTCTTGCCCAGCTGGGAACACCAGTGAGCACCTGCCAGAAGACGGTGGCCGTGTCTCCTGTGCCACTGCTGCTATGGGGGGTGAGGGGCAGGGAAGGAGCCGCAGGGGTCTGGCTGCCCTGTTTGGGCTCACCTATGTGCAGGGACCGGGGGGGGNTGATGGTGTATTTTCTTTTTTCCAATATTGTGCATAAGTTCTGCGCGCCGCAGTTAGCCATAACACATTTATTATTGAAGTAACATTGGAGCATGCACTTTAGTGGCCACTGAAAATCAGGCAAAAACATGCCTTTTTCACATGATTTTTTGGAAGTTTCAGAGGCCACGCAAGCCCTCTTGTGCAACTTGCAGAGCACAGCTTATACCTGCGTGCTTCTGCAGCCTCCAATAATCATATGAAAATGGGCTGTGTTTGGGCGAACAGTAGTCAGGAATAGGGAATGCTTGGTATGTTACCTAAATGATTGTTGTATATCACCTTTGACACGCATGTCATAGATTTGCCATCACTGTACTAGTTCGTCTATAAGCTAAGTTAGTTTGAGTTCTTATTAAGAAAACTATAGTCTTGCATAAGCAAAGAAATGCCAAATGAAAAGTTTTTGGAGAAGATGGGAGAACATAAGGTGAGAGAGCTAATATAAAATAGATATTGGAGATAAAATAAGAAGGTTTAGCTTTGCTTCACTGAACAAACTAAGGCTTTTGATTGAGACACATTGAGGCTAATAGATGTACCCAATCTAATTATCTGTCTGAGGGAATCTTTCTTTCAAACAAGAAGCTACTGCAGGAATTGAGCTTGAAGAGAGAGAGTGGTTCAGATTAGGAAGGGAATATGACAACAATGTGTATTTCCCCATGATGGTTCAATTTCTACAGGGGAAAATATAATCAGAATGACATAATTAGGAGAGGTGATTGCTGCAATCAAATTATAACAATTTGTGATAAGCAGATACCACTTTGTTAGCTGAAAATAAAGAAGTCTTAGACGAGCTTATTATGAAAGTAAATACTGAATGTTAAACATCTGGCATAATATCAAATGCTCAGAAACCAATGTCATGTCAATCAGGATACTGAATGAACTTAAAATTGATGTTGAAGAAGTGAATGTGATAAATAGTTTACTTTGGTTGGACTCAAAAATAGATAAAAATGATGAGCTACAGATTAATCCTATAGATTAATCCTATAGAAGCAGGCAATGGTAATCTTAAACAAGGTAACAAAAGAAGGATATTTGTATAAGGTTCAGAATAATTAAAGCAATTGTCTTTAATGGTAATTTTGGTAATATATGACTTTGAAGTCTGGATATTAAGAAAGAATGAGAAAATAAAGATAAACAACTTTGCCTCATAGATTTGTAGACTATTGCATCCAAGAGTACGAAGAGCCAATCTATCTATTTATATAAAATTAAAAAATAAAATAAAAGCTACTAGAAAGTAAAATAANCTCCCATCTCTCTTGCTGGCGGTGTCACCCCCCCCCCCCCCCAAAAAAAAACCCAACCTCAGCTTTTTGTTCTGGCACAGAAGCCAGGAGGTGCCTCTTCCCGGCTACCTGCTGCGGGGGGAGGCGCAAGAGCACCTCTCTGGCAAAAGGATCATGGCCACACAGGTCGGGGACTACTGCCCTTGCAAACGCGCTCCCCCCCCCTGTGTGGTTCAGAGGCAGCCCAGATTCCCCCCCTCCCTCCCTCCCCCCTCCCCATGGAAGCAGTACAAAAGGCCCTCCTGCTTGAGTGACAGCTGTTTATTTGAGCCACAGGGGGCGTTGTCCTGGGCCTGTGTAGAAAAGATAAAAACTGTAGCATAGCCAAGTGGGAGTGCAGGGTGGTCTTGGCACCAGAGGTGGCCGCAGATACGGGGCGTGAAGGCAGCAGGGAGAGTGCAAGGCCGAGCAGCCCCCTTCAGGAGCCTGCCCTTGCCAGGCGGGCCTCCCCCTATCCGTACCATGCATAGGGAGCCCTCGCTCCAGCCCTTGGCTCTTCCTGAAGGCACTTGGGGCGAGCCGCAGGCTGCCGGACGAGCCCCTCACTTCTCCTGCATCTTTTCAAGAATGGGGACAATCATGTCAAATTTGGGGCGCTTGGCAGGGTCTTCGTTCATGCAGATCTTCATCAGCTTGCAAATATGAGGGGAGATGCCGGGGGGGATGGTGGGTCGCAGCCCCTCCAAGGCAACCTGCAAAGAGACACCAGAACCTCGCTGGGACCCAGCAGACAGCTGGGCAGAACCCTTGGGTCCTCCCGCCAAAGCTCACCTTCATGCCAATCTCCATGTTGGAGAGGTCGGCGAATGGCACTTCCCGGGTCACCAGTTCCCACAGGAGCACCGCAAAACTCCACATGTCTGCCGAACGGCGGTTAATCTCCTCGGCCTTCTTCTGTAGAGCTGTGAGGAGGGGGAGGGTTTGAGGAGCCGCCGCCTGGGAGAAGCTGTGATCAACTGGGGAAACAAAGAAGCACTTGCCCGCCCCCCACCCACACTCACCTTCCGGTGCCACCCAAGCTGGGGCATACATCCTACCCGGGCACTGGAAGGAAAACTTCACGTCCGCCATGCCAATCCTGGCTGTCATATCCTCGTCTATCTGTTCCGGGGAAGAGATGGGTGAGGCTGTGCTCTGGGGCCCCTCTGCCCAGTGCACCAACCTCCCTGCCTGCCCCCAACTGACCATGATGCCACGGCTGTTGAGATAGTGGCGAGGGAGGAGAGGTTCCAAGGTGTGCAGGAAGGCCATTCCCCGCGAGACGTCCAGGGCAAATTTCACTGCCTGCATTTGGTCCACCACAAAATCTGGAGAGAGAAGGCAGGAAGGGCAGGGAACATCAGGGAAAGAGGACAGCCAGCTTGGGCAAAAGGGAGTTTGTGAGATGGAAACTTGGGACATTCCCCCCGCCCGCTGCCAAGCTGCTCTTATCCTGCCCAGGTGGCTTCTACGGTTTTACCAGGGTCTGTCTTCCTGCCTCTAATTCAGTGAGGAGTCTGTGGCCTGCCCTGGGCAGAGGGAGGGAAGAGGCATGCCCGAGCATCTCTTCCGCAGTGGGAGAAAACCCCACAGACAAGCAGAGGACTGGGCAAAGAGCCTTGAGGAGAACGGACCAACTCGGGGCAGGATTCCCAGCCAGAGACCTGGAGCAGCCCAACCGCCTGGATGCCGGGAGCTCCTCTCACGACAGGTTCCCATCCGGCCATTCACCTCATCACTGGAGAAGATTTGGGGCCTCTCCTTGGACAGCAAGTTAAGCTCGCCCGCAGGGTGGAGTGGAGCCCCTGCTTCCCTCCTGTTGCTCAGCCCTTGCAACAGGCATCTAGGCTGGCAGCCACCCCCACCGAAGGCACCTCCAGGACGGGTGGCTGGGTGCCAAGGTTACTGGTGTTTTGGTTGCCTGTAAATAGGTCTGCGCATGCCCTACCTGAATCGGGAGGCTCTCACAACAGTCACTCGGGCCCTTGTGACCTCTAGGCTGGAATACTGCAATGTGCTCTACATGGGGCT